TTACAAGCAACAGCATTTGTTAATCTCTAAATAACAATTAAAGAACAACAGTACAAGTTTTAGTATAATGATTTTAGATTGTTTGCAGAAACAATATCATATATCTGGAACCTTTTCTTTTAAGACATTGTTACTATTTGAATGCAATATTTTTGGTTTGGTAGAACTTTAATATATTTAGTTTATGGAGCTTCTTTTTATTTCTTAGAGATTGGATCTTAAACAATAAATATATTGAAAGATATCTTATTTTTTTTGATTATCTAAATTATTCGACTTATCATTATACAAAGTAACATCTTGAATATTAATAATGTTTGTATTTTATTCACTGAATGTTGACAGATAAAATTTTCAAAAAATTTATTAAGCATATTTATTGTAACAGAATCAGTTTCTAATCCAATAGTAATAGCTTTCTTGCAAAGACTATTTGTAATTCCATATTTATAGTGAAAGTTAAGTATTTTTAATATATCATTAAATGAAATATAATTAGAATATGTTAAAATTAACTTCAAAATGTGTTTAAAAACTAAAATAGCACTTCCATCTTGATAAGTTATCAACAGTTGAGATTTTAATAATTTATAAGATTCTAAATAGTTATTATCTGTATATCAGTATCTTGAATATGAAAAGATGCTATTTTGATATCATCATTACTTTTGTGAAATGCTAACAAAAAAGTTTACAATTAATAAATCATAAATATATACAAATATATATGCTATCTTCAAATACTATAATATAGTTTTTGTTACTTGATCAATAGTGAATAACCTTTCAGCTTTCTTTAATAGATAAGATAAATAACTTTAACATTTTATTGATATTTATTACCAGAATGTTATTAAAATCTTCAAAAGCATTGCATTTATTTTGTTTATATATAAAATTTACATCTATGCTTTTTCTGAAAATTAATGTTGAACTGTATCAAAAGCTTTTGCTATTTTAGCTTTTTGCTTAAATAAAACAGGTGGCATTAAAAATTTAGCAATCTACATATTGATTTCAGACAATAATTTAGTAGATGTCATTAAATATATGGGTTTTGAGTAAACTTCAGACTAATAATTATAGCAAATAAATAATGATTTCTGAGAAAGTCTGTTTAGAACAATTGCAAGTTTATATAAACTTGTTTTGCATGTTAAGGTTGACTTAATAATACCATTAATATCCTCTACCTGTTGTGTTAGATGAATATCTACAGTATTGTTAAATAACAAAAAAAAATAATTAAACAAGATTTTAAATAAGAAATATCTAGTTTATATAAAAATTTCAATTGACTTAATGACTTAAAAGCTATTTAATAAAGTAATTTAATAGTACTAATTTGCAATGAATTTACAAGAAATTCAAGCTACTGCCTAGCATTCTTTAGTATTATAAAATATATGCTCAAGATAATTTTTAGATCCTGGATATTTATTAACAAGCTGCTGTCATCCAGATTCAAATTCTTGTTTTGATAAACTATTATGCATTTTATATCAATCTTTAATGAAACTGTCTCATTCCGATCCAAGCTTCTCTTTTAAATTTTTTTAAAGATTCTGGTCAATATAGTATATACAATTTATTCAATAAGTTTTAGGCATTATATTTTTAATAGCCACTTCATTCACAATATCAGAATCTATAACAAGAACACATGATTGATATCTGATAGATTCTAAAATCTTTGACAGAACCTATTCGTAACTAGAGGTTGTTTTGTCATTCATTAAAGCTTGGGCAACAAAACAACTTCTATTATAGTTATCAATGCAAACAAAAAGGCTAAGTGCTATATTGAACTGATTCATACTATATGTGTTATCATTTAAAATAATTTCATAATATCGAATTTAAGTATCAACTTGAGTAAATTTCATTCATAAAAGCAATTCCAAAGAATTGTAAATAGGATCCAAATGCCAATGAACAATCTAATTAGGATCTTGAGCTTTATTATTAAAAAACTTTTCTAAAAGAATAGAGGCTTCATTATCAACTTTATTATATTGTTTAAATGATTGAATATTATAAGATAAATCTTGTGATAAAAACAGAATATTAGGATATTTATTTTCAAGTAAAGAAAGTTGTATTCACATATTTAAACCCTTAGAAGTATAGTACTCAATTTCTTTTTTTATTTTATCAGAAAATTGGCAATAATTAGAGACAAATATAATAGTATCAGAGTGAATTTCATGATTATAATCAAGACAACAAGATATAATTTTGATTTTTCTAGTAGTTTTTGAACAGCTTGCACTAACCAACTATTTGCAGCCTAGTCATTTTGTATAGAATTGTCTTTACTCTTCTAAAATAGCTATTTTTTTTAATAGACTTTGCCTTGGTGTTCACAGACATATTGATATCTTACACATGTAATATCATCATATTCAGATCTATAAATAATCATTACAAAGCTATTTTGCTTGGCATATGCTTGAATGTGATGATTGAGCTGCTTCTAACTAGAAAATACTAAACTGACAATGATTTCAAAATCTCTATCATTTATTTCAGAAGTACTAATATCAGAAGATATATCTCTTTCTATTATATCTACAGCCTGTATATCTAATATAAGTAAATCTTGTAAAGTGTATACATAAGAAACTTGTAAATTAGATATTAATATGTCCTTACTTAACGAAGATTGCAGATGGTTTTTGGGGTTATATAGTCAATCGAGAAAATAATTTTCTTCTGATAGTAATTATTGCATATATTCAGAAACTTGCTGAAGATAATTATAATAATCAGGTTGAGACTGTACTAGAACTTTACATATACTGATTGTTTTGAAAAGTTTATAAACATGATGTTAATAGCTTCTAAAGTTTGATTGTTTGAATTAAATAAGTAATCTGTATTTACAATAAAGTAAATTGATCATTAAAAACAAGACTGTATAAGAAAAACTTACTACTTAAAGTTTCTAAAAATGTTATATTTACTTATATTAACTTAGTTTTTACAGAAATAAAATCATTTTTCTACAAATGACTTGACAAACTCTTATTAGGTTACTATACTATGCTAAATAAATAAAAAAAGTTATTGCTTTGATCATGTTTGTTAGTAACAAAGTTATATAGAAAAATTTTAAGTACTGCTAGTCACATCACCTAATATTTATTTGTTTGGTATATATAATATTACAGGATTGTAGCTTTTTTAGTAAAATACAACTAAGTAGCAAGATCACCCAGTGCAGTGATTAACTTTTGCAAATATACATGGGATGGATATATAGTTGTTCACTTAACTATATAGCGGAAGGCAAATAGTTTGAGATAGTAACAGTATATAAAATAACTTTATTTTATGCAAGAACACAGGATAAATCTTGTCTGTAAGAATTATTCGAGAGAGGGAATATTACATTTACAAGAAGAGTATAAAGAGAACAGAGTCTAAATGAAGTATAGAAACTTATATAATTAGTAAAGAGGAGAAAAGGTGCCCTTTATATATCTTTTTACTCATAAAGAGGATACACAATGCACAGTAAATAAGTAACACTTGGCAAGTGAAGAAGGAGAACTTGTGTAGAGAAGTAGAGAATTGTGTTAAGTAAAGAAGGTGATTATATTATGAAGTAGAAGAATATAAATATTACTTATCATATTTATATTTATTTATAGCTTATATGGAGGAATTAGATGATAATATTTTGTGTTTAAAACATTTAAAGTTTGTATAAGAGAATTAGAAATTCATATAGAAAAAGAAGGTATTTATATAAGGAAAGAAGATGAACTTGTGTTACTTTTTTGTATAATACTTTTGCATAACCAAAAGCCTCTCTTGCATAACCTTGTATCATCTAAGGTCATGTGACTGTGCCACA